CAAGGCGTGTACAAGGACATTATTTACATTGCAACCGTCAGCACCAAAATGGCGAACAAAAAGGCACAAATTACCTCGTCGGCATTACTGTCAGAATACAATTATTTGATCTTTCGATCGTCCAGCAACATTGCAAAATAAGCAACATATTAAAAATGCCTAAAAAACATTAAATTGGGTCGAATTTAAACATTCTATTCCAATACGGTTGTCCGTTCGACGTGAGACAATTTCAACTAGACAATGCCTTCCTATGTAACAGCCAGGTCGATAGCATTTTAAGGGTTAAATAACAATTTTATGATTTGCATTTAACAAACACTTTATTACCCATGGCATAAGAATTAAATTCATAAAACCAATGGATTACATTTAACATAGTATTTATTACATTTAAGTTAGATCTTACTTCCTAGGTTATAAAAGTTAAAATCGAGTGTACACTGTTCAATTATGTTTGTCACTATCAATGGACTTAAATGCTATAAAATTAAAGACCAGTTTCGTAAATTCGAAATTAGAATATCCATTGGCGCGACTACATTTTCCTACAAATTTAAAATGCATTCAAAAGTTCAATAGTAAGCTTTATTTTCTTAATCCTAAGGTTGAAATTTTCGCAGCAAAGTGCATTGTTATCGTTGTGATGTGACACGACAGCGGGAACTCGTGTGCGACGGAATGCAACGACAGGTTCGCGATAAATGGTATTTGAAATTTAAGATATATCGTTATCATTAAAAGATATTTTTTTTGCACATAATGTTATTTCAGTAAACTTTTGATTTTTTTAAGGAAAAGAAGGTTTCACTATTTTTTTTCCTTCGTTACGAATGTTTTGTTTCATGTTAATTTTTTACTCAATATCTAAAGAAAAATGTTTTCATTGTTGCAAATATATAAAGATAAAGTAAAACTCAATATTAGTTTACACGAATATTTTTCTTCGTTGCTATAAATAAAATAAAAACTATCATTAAATATCGTAAGACATTATCTCGGGATCTTATACCGTGTGAATCGCGCATCGCTTGACATGAGGCAGGCGGTATCGGCCGGCGAGGTTTTTTTCCCGCGGTTAATATTTTTTTTTTTCGTCAAGAAATCTGTATTGCACGATATCAGACCTCCTTTGTCGTTAAGGATCTTATATTAATTTTATGGATTTAAATTAAATAAATAACCAGTTAATAATATACATTGTTAAAAAGTTTAATTTATTTAAAAGAAATAAATGAATGCTTTGTTATTTAGATCAAGTCTTTTTGACTGTTTCCTGAAGAATTACATACAATATTTTGATCTATTTACATATAATAGTAATAGTTAAAACTATTGAGCAATTTTATTGAATGTTTTGAATATAAGAATTACGCAAGTAATAGTTAATTTAAACAAGAACAATACGTTTGACTTTTGTAATTGTTATGTCCAACAAAACAATACGCACATTAAAGGTGTAAACTTCGAAAGTATCCTGTCATAGTATTCATCTTTAGACTACTAGGTTTTGCCTGCGACTTCGCGCAGCTTAAAAAAATAGTCTTTGCTCTTTCAGACTACATCTAAATCTAATTAAATTCGGATCAATTCTGGTAAATGGTACAAACAAACATCCAAAGTCGCATTTCTAAAATACTAGCTTTTACCCGTGACTTTCCGCATGGTATTAAAAACAAAAGTAATAAGTATAAAGTAATAAGTAGCCGATGTGATTTCTAGACTATCCTCTACATCTATGACGAATTTAATCGAGATCCGTTAAACAGTTTAGGCTACAAACTCTCAAACATCCATCCAAATTTTCACGTTCATAATGTTAGTTAGAAGTAAGTTTTTTTCGATAGATATTCCATAAAAACTATTAGTGCCATCTTAAACTCAAAGTTCACTTTTTTCATTAATCGGTATAACACTGCGGCCTCTTACATTAATAACAAACCAGTTTTAAAAATATGAATCGTCTTACAATTTAAGAAAAAAACTGTCACTTTGATTTTTAATCTGTAAATTATACAGTTCTTAAAGGTCCGAGTATTTAAACAAAACTTTTTGCTTATCGATTAAACTCTATTCTAATGGGTTAAGGTTGAAATTTGAATGATTAGTTTGTTTTTTAAATTTGTAGTAATAGTCCACAGATGAAATATATGACACAGATCTACCCCAACGAAACAGGTTCTTTTAAATTATGGCTTGTCAATTTTTTTTAGTATCGCGCATGTGTGTTAGCTCGCTTGCCAAACACGGCAGGGGGCTGCAAGGGGTGTGATTGAGAAAGTTAAATAGGGCTGTCAAAATATTTTAGGGGACTTTTGCATAAATGATATTAAAATAGATTTGTTCCACAATGTGGAATATTTTATTATAGTAGTTTTTTTTAATAATAAAATATAATTAGAGTAGTAATGTAAACCTTGTTATGACGTTAATTTAAATTATTATTGATATTAATGAAATGTTTAATTTCATAGAGATCGAATAACAGTACAATACCATACTCAAAGTAGATTTATGGTCACTAAGGGATTCCTTTAAGACAGTATTAAAAACATACAATAACGGCGAATACGAATTAAATTTGCTTTGTATGCCAGCTTAAAATCTGACAGACGTTACGATTTCAATGTAATTATCATAAGTCGAATCATATCAGACGCTATTACATAAGTTACATAAATAATTTAAAATTGCAACTTTAGAAATAATATTAAAATCATTTTGTACAACCCTACATTCGGAATGCCTATACACCGACTACCCGCACTGCAGGGGTCGTCATACAATACACACACATCCTGCGTACAATACGTAAACATCAATGTGTGCGTAAATTCCCAGACATACAATATTTGGCACCATACATAGATGATTCATTAGGTATCGTAATGAATTTTTCTATTTTACTGAAAGTTTTAATGTACAAATAGAACACAAATCAAATTCAAATGAAGAGGAAGAACGAAAAAGTATGGATGGATTTTATATAAGATATTATATTATTGAACGTATTAAGAATGAATGTGGATGGCTACAAAGGAAGAGGAAGACCGAAAAAAGTATGTATGGATTGTGTGAAAGAGAATATGCTTAAGAAAGGAGTGGATTCAGATATGACGGTTGATAGAGATGTATGGAAGAGCAGCACAGACTGTGCCGACCCTCTGTAAGGGATAAAGGCAAGTTGATGATGATGGATTTTATACAAGAGGTTATGTGTTAGAAGGAACAATACAAATGTGGCGGCTGATAGAGATGTATGGAATACAAACTTTGCTAGTCTATCGAAATAATGATGACAAGGAAACTAGACGTAAGTTGGAACAATCTATAGTAAATTAGAAATACAATTATCTAATAGTGTTTTAATGTTTTTACTAGGATTACCCTCTGAATATAACTAAATATATGCATACCGTTGTATCACAACACTTTTCTTACTATGTTTCTAATATTATAAATGCGAAAGTTTAGATGGATGGATGTTTGTTAGAGTTTGTAGCATAAACGGCTTAACGGATTTCGATGAAATTTGGCATAGATGTAGTGGGTAGTGTGGAATAAGACATAGGCTACTTGCTTTTGTTTTTTCAGTAAATTCCACGCATAAGGTGTCGCGGGAGAAAACCTGTTGATTTATATTGTGTGTAAATTACATCAGGTGTAAAATTATAATTTACACAGTATGTACAACCATAATAGATTAAGGATTTTGACACTGTTATTTTAGAGTCGAGTGATATTGTTTTTCAAAGTAAAATTTATACGCGAACCGTTTGCTACTAATTAAAATTATTTTAATAAGATAATAATAATAAATATGAACGAATTTTAATAAGCTGTACACATGATATAGTATAATTATATGTAAATTGCTGATGCCTCACTGGCGATTAGGGTTCAAGAAGAAGGACGCAAAATCTATTGATGTAATAAGTTAATAAGAAGATTCTAAATACAGAGAAAGGCGTTTTAGGGTGAATTTTGACAGCATAAAGACCGCCACCTTTGATGAAACTATCGCAAAACTGTTTAGTCGTGCTTTGATTCCTACCATATATGGGGGTGCGCACACTACTCGATTTTTAGTTGTGCAACTAAAAAGTTGAATTGACTGCGAAACAATAGATAATCGCATTACAGTAGTGCGATAGTTTACTCTACGGTGAGTCTAGTTTTAATTGAGACATGGTTATAGTCCTACTAACTTATCTGGCTTAGTGAGAGCAATTGTTTTTGCGGTTCTGTTAAAAAGTAGGATATCTAAATATACCTAGAAAATGACAAATAAGACAGCGCATGAAAGACATCAGTATTTCTAAAAATATCTTGTAGTGGTGACATTGATAGAGATTTATCCAAAAAAAAAAGATTTACTATAAAATAATTTTCATTTTTATTTTATTGCATAAAACGCCCTTGTATGCGTTCGAAAACATGCAGAAGATCGTAAAAAGTCACATGAATCGAGTTACGTTCGAAAACTATCCTTTGTCGATTGTTTTCTCGGAGACCGTGAGTTGGGAACAATTGAACGGTTTTTGTACGGAACTCTACACAATTGAACAATGCTCCCACTTCGCCGTTGCTCCGGTATTGTATGATAATGAAAATGTAGGCACAACTGACACTCCTAGAACGTTCTTTACGAATTCTATTTAAAAAAAAGAATTATCCACAATTAAGTTTTAAAATCAAAGCAGTATCATTTTGTAAATTCACACCTACTCGTATTACTGCTTTTTTGAATTATGAATCATACTATTATTAATGCGAAAGTTTGGATAGATGTTTGTTAAAAAAAACAAAAGCGAGTAGCCTATGTGTTCTTCCAGACTATCCTCTAAGCCTAAGGCTGATTTCATTGAGGTCCGTACAACCGTTTAGGCTACAAACTCTAACAAACATTCATCTAAACTTTCGCATTCATAATATTAGTAAGAAGTAAGGACTAAGATTAGTAAGATCTACACTAGGAAACTGATACGGGAATCACTAACTGACTATTTAACCACAGAATTTATGCTTAAGAAAAAATTTAAATCATCAAAGTATGGATGCTTTGCTTTTTGACGAATCATTGAATAAAATCTCATTTCTATTCCGATACGGAGGATTATCATTGGCAAGCAGAACAAGAACAACAACACAGACAGTGAAAATACGTCTGTTATATTTATTCAACTCCTTCTGGCTGAATGTAGATTTAGCCGGTGGAATATATTGGTTCATAGACGGCTTAAAAAATGGAAAGAGCTTCATTGAACTAACATACATTGCTCCTTGTATAGCGCTCGCTTTTATGGCAAATATAAAATCTCTCTTCATGATCGTCAATGAAACGCGAATTGATGAAATGATCGATATTCTAAGATCGTTGGAAGTAACGGTGAAGAATAGTAAGAGAGTTGAAAGCAAAGAAGAGATTGTGGCGAGAGAAAAGAGTTTCTTGTACTGCGTGATTAAAATGCTTAATATATTGAATGTCGTAGTTGTTTTGACTTTCTCGATCAGTCCGTTTGTTTTGATGCTGATTAAATATATGAAGATCAAGGAATTAGAGCTTATGTTACCGTTTTTTATCATTTATCCATTCGATTCTTATGATATTCGATATTGGCCTTTCGCTTATTTGCATCAATTTTGGTCTGGTAAGTGTTTCTAGTATTTTTACTATGATAATTGTTTATCTAAATAACAACAAATTTATGCCAATATGTATTAAATAACATGATAACAGCTGACCTAGTGTATAATTTTGATTTAACAAAGCGATAACTACATACTATGATATGAAAAAGTTTATCAGGAAAACCAAAGTATTAAAGGAAAATGAACAAAACTATCGAGCGTATTCCTGTTCAGACACTAAAAACGAAAAAGAGACAAAAGCTATGCTACCTTTAAAGCGAGCACACCTTTGATTAAAACAATCGCACAACTGTTTAGTCGCGCTTTTATTCCTGTGAGCTTATATGGAGGTGCACATACTACTTGATTTTTAGTTCTTCAACTAAACAATTGAATGGGACTGAGAAACAATCGACAATCGTACAACAGTTGTGCGATTTAGTCATAGGTGTTCGCCGTTCTTATAATATTAGGTATATTTAAATCATATGACATGACTAAGGATGGTATGCAGAGGGGAAACATTCCCTATATGTGCGTCCCTTTCTCTCTAGAGTAAAGGTAACGCTTCTGCAAATGCATATATCTATGGATAGCTACACTATGTTGGCGAATTCCTATGGCCACTTGCTCGTTTGTCATACATTTGTTTGCTTTTTACATGCATTTCTTGTTACATATCCTCAGAATGGGTGGTAATTCTGGACATCTGCAGTGCGGACTACTTCTTCTTCACATGTTGCAGTCACATCAGGACTCAGTTCTTACTTCTAGCGTATGACCTTGAGAATATCATCCCTGACCTTGACAATAGTATCACGCAGACAGCGGACATAGCCTTTAATAAGAAATTTGTAGAGATTATCCGAAGACATCAAGTGATAATAGGGTAATTAAACCAAATAGAGGTATTTGTACATACATTTCGTATCTAGATTAAAATCGCGCGCACCTTGATTAAATTATCGCACAAAAGTTTATTCCTATGAGGTTATGAGGTGCGCTACTTGATTTTTAGTTGTGCAACTAAACAGTTGAATTGGCTGCGAAACAATCGACAATCGCACAACAGAAGCGCGATTGTTTACGTAAAGGTGTGCTTCCGCTCTAACTATAGTACTATTTTTCTTCCTTCACAGCGCTGCTAGGCTGCTCGAGGCAATATATACAAAATCAACACTCTACAACTTCACTTCGAGCTCAATCCTCATCTGTCTGACTGGATTTAACGTTGTGGTACTAATTAAGAACATTATTTAAAATTTTACACCTATTCTTGTAATCATTTCGTAATAAGAGTATTAACATAATCATTAGTAAATTTGTGCTTTCGTTAATAGCAATTAAGTTAAAGACGCTAATTTCTAATTGACTACAGTTTAACTGACATTTTAGATTTTCCCTACATATGCAATTTCAATTGAACAGTTCCATTCTTCAGGTTATACTCAAAGCATCAAATGCGAGCTTTAAAGGTGGATCATGACACGATAGATTACACTGCCCCAGTTTGTCTGATATTGGTTCGTTTACTTATGTGTATTTACTTTCGCCCGCGACTCCGTCCGCGTGGAATTAAAAATTAACAAAAGCGAATAGCCTATGTGTTCTTCCAGACTATCCTATACATGTATATCAAATTTCATTGAGATCCGTTCAGCAGTTTAGGCTACAAACTCTAACAACCATCCATCCATGCATCTAAACACGCATTTATAATATTAGTAAGTATTAAATTATTATCTCCAGGCTATAGAAGACGTCGCACTCATCGTAACATTTCTGCTGTTTCTCTCAATGTGTCTTCTGCAAGTATTTTTCCTCTGCTTCTTTGGGGATATGCTGATGAGATCTGTAAGTTTTGTTTCTGTTAGTTTGGAGATCGCTAATGTTAACATAAAATTCTGAGATTTTAATTTAAGACATTAAGTTTAAAGGTGCCAATTCCATATGCAAAATTGAAGATTTGTTCAAATCTGCGTTTGGGTTCTTTTTCTCAGATACTATTAATTTTTCATCAGAGTATGAAAATTAGCAATGCAGCTTACAACAGCCGTTGGTACTCTGCTGACCCGGTTATTGCCAAATCATTCCTGATAGTTCTCACCAGGTAAGTATTACCAGGGGCAAAAACTATTGAAATATGGTATGGGAAGAAATTATCTTACTCCTTACAATGTCTTAGTACAATTAAACCGCTATACAACTTAACAGGACAAGAAGAGTCGATGAATTTGGTATCTATACTAAATATATTCCTGTATTCTATACTAAATATATATGTATGTAATGTATTCCTTTGGTTCCCATGCAGCTTCATCCGCATAGAGTTATGAAAAAAATATTTTATTGTTTACATTTGTTAAATTATCAATTGCTAATGTCAAAAGGACATGACATGATGGCAACCTTGCTTTCTTGAAGTTGGCAACTTTCAGTTTATAGTCCCCTTCCCACATAAGGTTTTTTCCAACTCATTCATCCCTTATACTTAATAGCGTGAAAATATGTAGCCTAAAGCATGTCCTAAATGTAGGGCATTTTATGAAACAATGAATTATTCAAAAATATGCTGTAGTTGTAGACATCCTAGGCCAAGAAAGAGTGTGAGTATACGCTTTATTATATTAGTATAGAAGTATAGATAATAAATATAATCGTACATATTCAGTAAATTACGCTAGGAAAATACGTTGTTATAAAAACCCGAATGACGTCAATCGAGAGGACAAATTAAAAAAACCTATTGTATTGAAATGAACGAAAACACGTAGTTTCCGAAGTTTCCCAACTTTGAAAGAAAAACAAAGAAGTACGCAAACGGCCTAAAAATATAACAAAGGTAGGTACGAGGAAAAAATTTGACTGTTTAATTTTATTATTTTCAAACGCAAGTTATAAACGTTCGTTCAAACTACAGCTTCTATTCAAAAAAAATGTTTCACTAGACAATCAATATTTATTAAAATATTTCAGTATCTAACGTACTATATTATTTGTTAATCGAATCAAGATTGGTTTGTAGAAAAAAAAAATATTCTGCCATAAATTCATTTCAAAAAGTCACCAGTATTTATTGTTAAGAAAACCATTACTACGCAGGAGGATTGGCGCAACACTAGATAATAGGCATATATGTCCCGTTTCTATGTGACAGCTGTCAATGTCATTCGGACGTACAAAAAAAGCGCGCCATTCTAGCGGGATAATGCTTTGAGTGGTTGAGTTCATTACACTATTTACAATTATATTAATTGCGTAAAAGTCTTCACCTTTGGAAAGTCTATTGTTTGAGGACGTATATTCCTTGCAATTTATTTCCAGAGCGCAGAAGCCTTGCAAGTTGACGGCTATGGGATTCGCTGACGTCAATCTGATGGCGTTCACAAGCGTAAGTTATACAACGTCTGTTTTCATTGTGGGACATTCGAGTCATTTTTAAGAAAAAACGGAGATTTTTTTTCTTGCAGGTATTAAGTACTTCGTGGTCGTATTTCTGTCTTTTGAACACCATGTATAAGCCATCGTCTGTTTAAAACTTTAAACAAAACGTTTTAGATGTTTGCTGCTCTAAAAGTAGTTTAATACTCAACCTTAGCGAAGACTTAAAAACCTTTAATAAGCAATTAATGAATGAGTAGTTTTCACTGACGTGTTTACTGATTTATTATATAATATTATAAAAAAATATTATCAAAAAAATATTAAAAACCGCTTTTATTTATTTATTGATACATCAATGTTTAAATTAAAAATCAATATAACGATATTTAGTCAAATTGAAAACTCGAATTTTCAACAGCTTGTATCAACATCGCTACGAATCATAACCAATAATTTGCAGTAACTAATCTGTAATTATTTCACCACGAAACACTTCAAGCATAACAGATAATTACACAAATACTTAAATACTAGCTAAACCAAAATGATTTGTTTTCAAACTTTGTAATATCCAATCATTTATACAGGATGGAATAAAAAAAATAGTTGCCTATGTGTTCTTCCAGACTCTACGTCTAAGCCAAATTTCATCGAGATCCGGAAAGCCGTTTAAGCTACAAACTCTAACAAACATTAATTTAAACTTTCGCATTTATATTATAATATTTTACAAGTGATCAATTGGTCCAGTTGTTTTTGAATTTATTCATTACAAACAAAAATATAATTTTCCTCTTCGATAATACCTAATCTATACTTATTATAATAAGGCGTAAACACACACTTCTTTGTTGCCTAAGATGTCAGCAATCACAGCATATTTTCACGCCATTAAACAGGGGGAAAATATTTTGGGTAAAAACCCTAATGTGGGAAAGAGACCATAAGTTGCTGCCAACATCAAGAAAGCAAGATTGCTAAGGTTTGTCATGTCATGTCATTTTGACATATGTAATTGATAATTTGACAAATGTAAACAATAAAATAAAATTTTCATAATTTCATGCGGATGAAGTCGCATGGGAACAGCTAGTTATTAATATTTCAACTATACGTGGTTCAAATTTATTCAATTAATTATTTTTTATGGAAGAATAAGCAAATCTACTACACAAAGAACATCGAAGACAATGACCAAGGTTAGGTTAACATTTTTTCTTCTTACAAACAATACGATAAAAACGCTCTACAATTAATTTCCAAATTGTCATTTTTCTTTGAAAAACCGCTTTAAGTGACAACATTCGGTATTAAAAAAATATAAAGATAATTAACCTCTTTTTAGTCCGATAAAAGTGTTAAAAAAGTTAGGTTATTTTCCTAAATACAGCGAAGAATGAGATAGAGTAATCAATCGTTGCAACCACATACTCTCTATCTATCGCTATTTGTTATATCTTCTTTCTCTTTCGTGTAAAGAAATGTCTCTAAATGACTCCAAAGATTTTACTGTAATGTTTAAGCTTTGTTTTTAAATTTACTTAGCGCTAAACTGGAAGAAAGAGAAGCATGCTGAAATGACATCACATGGCAATCTGTAATCTCTGTTTACGCTTTTACTTGCGTTAATATTTATTAGAATTTTACTGCGTAAAGAAGTTAGAAAACAGGACAATGTACAAAACAACTCTTCATACAGTTAGAGCGACAGTTGGAATATCTTTTTTCTTTTTCGCGGCAGCATAAATCGCGTAAAGCCCTTTCATCACGTTAGAGCGGCTCCGGAATTTGAATGTCGGCTTTGCGTTTCCTTTTTAATCGTGCACCAAGATAAATTACTGCCAGCACTCGTGTCTCGTTAGGAATACGCGCGAAAATTTCTAACCTAAAACCCTTTGCTTTTTTACAATTTGGTTTGATTAAAAATAATTTAATCTGATTAATGACAATGATCATCTTCATTTTTAAAGTAGTTGGAATCAGAATTATAAACTACGTACTGCTAGACCTGGTTTCGTCTGCCTCTCTAGAGGTAACCATTAGAGTAAGCGTGGAGCCAACCAAACTTTTTATTGTTATTTAAAAAATTGTACCTAATACATGGTAGATTATAAAATTAATTTATTTTGTTATTTGAATTTATAAGACGATAATATTTCAAATAATCCATTATCTGCCTTCGTTAGTAAGACTTGATGTAGAGAACCAGAGCATTAACTGACAGCGTACGCTTGCCCTTGTTGTCGTTCGTTCGGTGGTCCTATAACGTCCGAAGCGTCGTCTGTTTTTATTCGCTCACTTCAGCAACAAGTTGCAACGCAAACTCGATTCATGGCTTGGCTCGTAGTTTTTAGATTCCCTCTACCGGCTATTTGTTTTTATTTGTGTCTTACTGTTGTTAAACTTTACAATAACAATAACGATATTATGATAATGTTGCTTAAGAAATTGGTATGTATCTTAGTCAACTTATCGTCACCATTGAGGTTCTCAGAGCATACTCTAAGTTTGGGATTACAAGGTCTGTCAACAACGATAGCCCAGTGTGGATTGACTTCACACTTTCAAATTTCTTCGTAGATATGTAAGCAACCAGCACGATGTTTTCTTTTGTTTTTACTTTAGGATATTACGTAGTTTAAAAAAATATGTGAAAATAGGCAATATTCAGTAACACCATGTAAGTAAACATCTGTAATCAAAAATTCATTAATTAACCCCTTACGAGGTGTTAAACGAAATAGCCTCATCACGCTGTCTGTTAAGTTATTTAAATCAACACGAACTATAAAAGACGCCATTTTCAATTTACCTTATCAAATGCAAGATGGCGGGCAAATCACTTTTGGATACAACATTGAACCGTTTAAAATTAATTTTAATCCTGTCAGGTTTGAATTTGGAACGATTTAACCGTCCGCAAACAATTAAAAGAAGATTAATTTATATTTTTAATTTCATCTGGCTGAACAGTGATATAATTTGCGCTATTTTTTATTTAATTGACGGTGTTAAGAATGGTACTGATATGACGGAACTTACGTATTTAGCGCCATGTTCGATGCTTAGTGCGGTTTCTAATTTGAAATCGTTATATATAATCAGTTATAATAACTACGTTAATAATTTAATCGATGAGTTGAGAGCACTCGATGTGAACTCGATTAATTACAATACCAACATAAAAAATAAAATAGAAAAGGAAGAGAGAAGATTTTTAAATATCGTTATAAATTTGTTAAATATTTTAAACATCGGTATGGTGGTCAACTTCACTTTCAGTCCTTTAATTTTGATAGCTATTAACTACTTTAGGACAAAGAAGGTTGAATTAATGCTGCCGTTTTTAGATGTGTATCCATTTGATCCGTTAAATATAAAATACTGGCCGCTGGTTTACATCAAACAGATATGGTCAGGTAAGATTGCACACAACTATTAATACTTTTTAGTTTAGTTGATGTTAACTTGTTCCGGTGTGTTCTTTGGAGATCCCGGAACCTTCGTTTATGTCACTAGAGGGTGGCCACCGAGGGGGTTTTAGTAGGGCAAATCATACATAACCCTGATTTCCCTCCAGAAGGCAAGGTATCTTTTGGAGATTTCCCCCCGACACCAAAAAAATGCAATATCTCACTCAAAAGTAATTAAAATCGATAAACGCATGCTTTAGATCCAATTCCACGTAGAACTTAGCAGTGCAACTCTTTCGGCCTTTTGTATTGTGTCGCGGAAGCTTTTTCCACTGGCGCGTCCATCATCGCTGTAAAGATGCCAAATTCTTTGGAGCCAGAGTATCGCGTTTCACTATTAAATAGAAATAAGAACTTATTAGGCTGTTCGGAATTAAAGGCTGAAAAGACAATAGATTGCATAATACGCTGAAAAACGAAGTTTTGTTTTTATTACAGAATGCATAGTCCTTTTAGAAATATGTGCGGCTGATTATTTCTATTACATTTGCTGTACATACATTCGAATTCAGTTCCGACTGCTAAGCTATGAGATAGAAAATTTAATTCCCATTCAAGATACAGATGACCAGGACATCAGAAGTAAACTGTTGAAACTAATAAAGTGGCATCAACATCTTATAAGGTAAGGGAGATTTTATACAACAGTCTTTTGTTTGAAACTATTAAGAGCGTGCGTTAACTGAAACTAAATTATCGGACAACTGTTTAGTCTGGCTTTGATTCATATTAGGTGCGCATACTACTCGATTATTAGATGTGCAACTAAACAGTTGAATTGTCTGCGAAACGAAGTAGGCAAGGGAGTTCATTTGTTTATGAACATTACCACCGGATAAAAAATCCAACCATGACACAGATTGTAAATATTTTAGAAGTTTAACATCGTTAATGGAAGATGGTATTTAAAAAAGGAAGAAGAGATTAAATGACGTCATGGACATATATGTTGAAATTGGAAGGGAATTTTAGGTGAAATATTCAAGCATTAAGGTTCTTACGGTTTGTTCCGTACTAGCTGAACTGGGCCATTCGAGACTGTCTCTGCTGAAAAAACATACGCAAATTCAATAGTTTGTGAATTTATCACGTTTAGACAGTTGACCCGGTGCGAGGGAATTCAGTTTTAAGCTGCGGTTTTTATACTCTTTTTGCTAAACTAATCCAAAAAATGATTGTCTCTTTTTCAGCGTGACTAATACTTTAGAATTGATCTATTCAAAGTCAACTCTATTCAATTTTTTCTCGAGTTCAGTGATTATTTGTCTCACCGGTTTTAATGTGACGGTTGGTATATTCTGAATATTACTCCAATAATCAGCACTAATAACTGCTATGAAGGGGAAAGATTTGTATTTTTGGATTATTGTATGCATTAAAGTAACTCAAAAAGTACGGATTTCAAAAATTCTTTTACCATTAAAAAGCTACGTTATCTCCGAGTAAAAAAGGCTATATTTTTAATTTCATGTGGATGAAGTCGCGATCAACAACTCGTTGTAAACAATAGCTAATTTTATTTCAGGCCATAGACAATTTGGCGTTTGGAGTGACATTTCTAACGTTTTTATTTATGAGTCTTCTTCAAATTTTCTTTCTTTGTCTATTTGGTGATATGATTATGAGATCGGTAAGTAAAACACTAACATATATCAAAACTATAATCTTATTTCTAATATTATACGAAAGTTTGGATGGATGAATGTTTGTTAGTTTGTAGCCTAAACTGCTGAACGGATCTCGATAAAATTTGCCATAGATTTAGAGCATAATAAAGAACTTATAGCCTACTTTCTTTTGTTTTTTAATTCCACGCGAACAAAGTCGCGGGTGAAAGCTAGTATGGGGTAAATTTCAAAGGTTAAAGTATTGATTTTTATTTCACAGAGCCAGGAAGTAAGCGATGCTGCGTATAATTGTCTATGGTATACAGTTGACTGTAGACTCATAAAATATCTAATGATTGTACAAATTAGGTTTGTAAAAATTTGGAATAAATCCAGTGATCGAAAGTGTCAGTCATTTTTTCAGTTAGATTTTGTAAACAAATTATTAGCCAATTTTGTTTAACCTTCAGTCAATAAACAAAGAAATCTGATGTTTTTTACTTTTGTATAGATAGAAATAAATATGTTTTACTCAATTTACAGAGCTCAGAAACCGTGCAAGTTAACAGCTATGGGTTTCGCAGACGTCAATCTCAGGGCTTTCACACGAGTAAGTTTCACAAATGCATTATTTCTCTATGTTCTTGTCTTTCCGCAAACTCTACATTATTACCATTATATATTATCTACTACTAGCTGTTGCCCGCGACTTTGTCCACTTGAAATCAGAGATTGTAAAAAAATATCTATGTAATAAATAACATAGGTTTTTAATTATGAAAAAAATTAAAACGACGCATTAGTTTTTGAGTTATTTTAATACATACAAAAATACAAAACCTTTCTCTTTTTGACATAAGATTCATAAAAAAATTGTAACTAACGAAATTATTCCTTACAGGTGCTGAGTAGTTCTTGGTCGTACTTCTGTCTTTTAAACACTATTTATACGCCATCAGCTGATGGAATTTAAAAACAATGATATTGCTTAAAATAATGATAATTAAAGGGGGAGGCGGTGATGACAATATGATCATT